TTTATGCTCGTATTGCCCTCCTGGAAATGAAAGAAGATTTAATATTAATAAGTTAAAAAAAATAATGAATATTATTCCTAGACCATGCCTAGTTTCAGGAGATTTTAATGCGCATCATATTGCATTTGGCTGTCAAAGTACTAAAGCACGTGGTAGACAACTATATGATTTATTTGATGAAACTGATCTATGTATCTTGAACACAGGATTACACACAACTGTACAGGGTCCTAATAAAAATTCTTCAGCAATTGATGTTAGCTGTATAAGCTCTAGTCTTGCTCCTCTGTGTCAGTGGAGAGTGGGCGATGACCCACTAGGTAGCTTTCATTACCCAACATTCATAGACATAAATATTTCTCCATTGGTTTACCAAGTAGGTGATACAAATCAAAGGTATCTTTTTCACAAAGCAGATTGGACAAAGTTTTTCCTTAAATCAAAAGAGTATTTTGAAAATTTTGAGTTGAACAAAGAAACCCCTTTAGAGTCTTATGACCACTTCTGTCAGTTAATAGATAAATTAAAGCAAGAATGCGTACCTATTTCCAAAAACAAAAATAGCAACCGGGTGAGACATAGCCCAGCCCCCTGGTGGAACAGTAAGTGTGCAGATGCTGTTAAAAACTCTAGGGATGCCCTGAAAACATACAGAAGTAACATGACATTAGATAATTACATAGCATTTAAAAAAATTGATGCCAAGAAAAAACTTATTATTAAGGAGGAAAAATGCAATAGCTGGCACAACTTATGTGAATCCTTTAATAGGTATACTCCTATTTCACAAATATGGAATTATATGAGACGATTTAAGAGAGCTGTAAATAGAGTTTATTCAAAAAATGATGATTGGATTCCACAGTTCATTGAAAAGTTTTCTGAACCAGAGAATGCAAATAGATCTGATAAAATAAGTTTTCTTTTTAACAAAAATAGTTCTAACCCTGATACAGTCAATAGTTATTTATTAAAAGCATTTGACTTAAATGAGCTTATTTTAGCCCTTAGATCTAGAAAAGATACAGCTCCAGGCCTAGATAATATCCCTTATGTAATATTAAAGAAATTACACATATCAGCAAAAACTGTACTATTAAATATTTTTAATTCACTATGGGAAAATCAGGTAGTTCCAGAATCATGGAAAACTCAGTGTATCATTCCAATATTAAAGCCAGACAAACCAACAGGTGATCACAACTCATACAGACCTATTTCATTGTCTTCTTGTGTGGGTAAGCTCTTTGAACAAATGCTCAAAGCAAGATTAGATCATTATATAGAATCAAATAGAATCTTACCTTATAATCAATTTGGCTTCCGTAAAGGACGTAGTTCTTCCGAGAGCATTGTTAGCTATATATCTGACATGAAAAATTGCTTATATTCTCGATCCCAGGCAGTGTGTGTATTCCTTGATGTTCAGGGTGCATATGACAATGTTGATATAGATTGCCTGTGTCAAGTGTTGTATGATTTAAATTTTCCTGGAAAATTAATACAATGGATTTATAACTTTCTGAATGGTCGAACTCTATACGTAAAATATAATAATATTATTCATGGACCTAGTACATCCTATAAAGGATTAATGCAGGGGGCTAGTCTGTCTCCAATGCTGTATAATTTATATACGTCACAAATAATGACGTATATGAATCCTGAAGTTAAAGTCTTGCAATTTGCTGATGATCTTTTATTGTATAGTGTTAATAGAAATGTAGACTTAGCTGTACAAAAACTAAATTTATCATTAGAACAGTTATTGTATTACTATAGATATAAATTAAAACTTAATATTTATTCATCTAAAAGTGCTGTATTGGTAGTTGGCTCTGATAATTCAGTGCATATCAAATATAATAATTTACTGATTCCACAAACTAGTAGCCATAAATTTTTAGGTGTTATTGTAGATAGCAAACTAAAATTTGAGCAGCATATAAATTATATATCAAAAAATGCTTTGAAAGGTATTAACATCATTCGATGTTTAGCTGGAGTTTATTGGGGTGCTGATCCCAAAACATTGTCCACATTATACAAAAGCCTAGTAAGGAGTCATTTTGATTATAGCTGTCTTGCCTACTTCAATGCCAGTCCTAGTTTATTGAAAAAATTAGATGTCATCCAAAATGTTGGGCTAAGAATCATTAGTGGTGCTATGAGATCAACTCCAATAAATGCATTAGAAGTAGGGTTGCCACCCGTACTTTATTATAAAGTATTGTACGTTATTTCGGGTAATTGTACTCTATACTTTATGCCAACAATAAAGTACGCGAAAATACTTTATTTAATGTGATTTGATTACTCGCGGATTAATTTTACATAAAATATACAAACAGAGGTTGATAGGAAGATTTTTAGCGTAAAACGGACAGAAAGTATGAATATGTTGCCCTTAGCTAATTCCTGCAACATTTTCGTGGCTGTGTGCCTTTGTATAATGACCTTTCCCATTACGGAAAAGACTACAGTAGCCGCAAAGTAGCAACGTAAAATATTTTTTTTTCTATTAAAACTTTTCTTTAGATTTAATTTAGCAGTTAAATGCTTTAAAAAATAAAAACATAACTATAAATGTTATTATTTCTTCTTTCAAATGTTTAATACTTGAAAAAGTATTCATTTGACATTGTGGGTTACCTACAATGCGAAGAGATGGCGCTGCCTTGCAGCTTAAGGGAAAATTTCGATGCGGCCATCAGGGCCGCGGTAGCATAATTGGTCAGTGCATTCGCCCGGATTGCGAAGGGTGCGGGTTCGAGTCCCGTCTGCTGCCTGATCCGCGAGGATTTTTTTTCTATTAAAACTTTTCTTTAGATTTAAACGTCTAGCAGTCAAATTCTTAAAAAATAAAAACATAAATATATTTTTAAGCTTAATAATAAAATGGAATAAAAAGTACTTTATTTTGGACACAATGTACTTTTTTTCTACCTTTAATATCCAATGTACTTTATTTCGTCAAAAAAAAGGTGGCAACCCTAATTAGAAGCCGAAACTTGTATTCATCCATTAACATTAAGAAGATTTCAGTTAGCACAAAATTTCTCAATTAAACAGCTGTCAGCTAACAATAGTCATATTGTTAATAATTTGATTCTCCCTTCAGAACTTGCAAATAACATAACAGATTCTATAGTTTCTACAAATGATCTTATTAGTAGTAAATTACCTGAAATGTGTACCATAATGACATATATCAGAGAAAAATGTGTACATATGTTTATAGCTAGTGATAATATTTGGCCTATATATAAATGCAAATATGACGCTTTATACTTGCTAAAAGTTATAGTCCATTTACCTAATATTGAGAATAATAATGATTATTTACAATTTGTCAAAAACAGAAATGAATTTTATAAAATTTTCACAGATGGTTCAAAGGAGTGTCATAAAGATGTAGTTAGGTGTGGCTTCTATGACCCTCAGCTAAACTTTATTAAAGTATATGCATTGAATAACAAAGCCAGTGTATTTTCATCTGAGGCTTATGCTATTTATCAAGCTTTATGCTATATTTTAAAAGCAGACTCTTTTGTAAATAATGTACATAATTATCTTGTCATATCTGATTCTAAAAGTGTGTTATTAGCATTAGAAAGTAATAGGCTAGATTCTAAGGTAAATCATATTATATATAAAATAAGAGACCTTTTATATGACTTGTATATACAGAAGAGAGAAGTGCAATTTTTATGGGTTCCCTCCCACAGAGGCATTGCTGGAAATGAGATTGTGGATAAAGCATTAATTGCAAATAACCCAGAGGATCACTCTACCTTTCCAATACCATACACAGATCACTTATCATCACTGAAAGATGAAATTAAACATTTGTGGATTAAGTATTGGAACCACTGGAACAATTCCAAGGGGAAATGGTACGCAACAATACAGAAAAGTTTGCCAAACAAGCCATGGTATAATAATGCAATATGTGAGTCGAGAAAATTTATTACAACTATTAACAGGCTGCGCTTTGGACACTGTTTGGTTCCAACTCACTTGCATAGGCTTAAAATTCTGTCGAACGACAAATGCAGATATTGCCAGACTCCGCATGCAGACATTAATCACGTAATTTTCTCATGTCCTGAATTTAACATCCAACGTCTACTACTAATATGCGAGTTGCAAGATATTCAATCAGAAGACCAGAGCAATTGTTTTCCCCGCCGCATTGAAGATTTTCTCTCCAACTCATGCTATTTTAAACCAATTTATAAATATATTGTAAATACTGTAGATAAGATATAGAATAAGACAAAACGAAATGTTATTTGTTTTTCTTTAGGTTATTTTTATTCCATTGTTTACTTTCTATCCTTCTATCGCTGTCAATGTCATTGTCAAAATATAAGTTGTCAGTAATCTGTTTCACGCATCTCACGTTTCTATTTTATTTAAGTTTGTATTTGTACTATGTGTTCGGCTTTATGGACTTGTATCCTGGTTATGTCATTTGCTAATAAAAAAAAATAAAAAAAATAGTGATGCTATCGCATTTGTCCTCAGTGAACGGCAAACATGCTGCGAACATTTTAAATAATTTTATTCAGTATTAGTTCAATATTGATATATTAAAATGATAATGAGATGAGGTAAATCGTTCGTTGTAGTTAATATTAAAGAAAGGGAAACGATATTTTAATTTGATAACCTAGCAGTATTAAAATTCAGTTCAATATTTTTATAGATTATTAGAAAGAAAGTAACTATGTATCAATTTTTGGGTAGTCGGAAAGAAGGTAGAGCTTAGAAACTATTATGATGAGGTAAAAGCCTTGCAGAATGTGCTTATTACCTACCTACCCAATTTTTGCATTAAATTAAAAATTTGTGTAGTTATTTCACCTTTTCGATTTCATGAGAGTAAAATAATAAAATTAAACTCAAAGCAAAATTCACCAATGGTAATGTTATTACCGGATTGAATTTGGTGTCTGAATATCAAGGTAATTGAAAGAACTTGCGACATTTATTGAAGGTGGATTACTTCTATCAGAATCTTCATGAACAAATCAATGTCGAAAGTACGAGATGCCTCATCAAGTTATCAAAACAACCACAGGTAATTACTATATTGACTTAGGTATTTTCTATGAACTTGGCAATTTCATTATCTATATCCCTTATTTTAGGGAAAGTTAAATTTGTTTTTAATCAGAATAACTGATTTTGTTTCAGTATCAAAGGAGAGAAACTCATATATCCAGCTGCGAATCGAAATAAAGAACCTATTTTACAAGTTTTGAAAAGATTTATATTATCAGAAGCAGAGAGCATTGATGATGATGATGAAAGACCAATATTCTTAGAAATAGCATCAGGCTCTGGACAGCATCTTGCTCACTTTGCACCGCATTTCCCTGGTGTTAAGTTCCAACCAAGTGAAATAGATGAAAATTTATTTGGAAGCATAATTTATTATGCTGTTAATTGCTCAACTAAAAATATGTGTCAACCTATTTTAATTGATATTTGTAATAAACTTTCATATTATGGCTTTACGGAAAGCAGTATTGACTACATGTATAATGCCAATATGTTACATATTAGTCCTTTCAATTGTACAGTTGGTTTGTTTGAAAATGCTGGTACCTATTTAAAAACTGAAGCACTATTGGTCACTTATGGTCCTTTCAGTAGAGATGGTGTTATTACACCACAAAGTAATATTGATTTTGATGCATCTCTTAGAGCAAGTGATCCGTCGTGGGGTATTCGTGATATTAATGATCTTATTAAATTAGGAGAAGAAAACAATCTCACTCTAATAGACACTATAGAAATGCCTTCTAATAATAAAACTTTGATATGGAAAAGAAATTAAAATACCTGAAAAATGCATCAATAGATAGCTAAAAACTAATTAACTAGTGATGCTTAGTTACCTAGTATTATAATTAACTAATTCATTTATATTAAATTTTATATTATTATTCCTTATGCCTGTTACTTGGTATATAAGTACCTTGCACACAATAGGTACAGCTAAAAATACTGCTCATTAACAAGCCTAGAAGTTATTTTTTATGCCAACTAAAGATAATGAAGCATACAAATTCATAAATACAGCTTTAAAGTGTATACTTAATGTATTTTTATTTCATACTTTAAAATACCAAAATTTCATTTCTGTAACAAATTCCATTTACAAACTAGAAACCCATTACATACGGACAGACAACGAGCGTCAGCAATAGAGTTCCATTTTAATATACAAAAGCATTTGCTAGGGGAAGAACAATACGTCAGGTTCGATTCCTATTTAGAATAAAAAAGTAATAATAATTGAAATATCAAATTTTTATTAATATAATTTTATTTATACATATTTCTTTATGCTTTTTCCTAACAACCTATGAATAAATAATTGAATACTGAAATCTGATAAAACTTTAGCCATTTGATTAATTAGAACAATAAACAATGTTATGACTTGAACAATAACGAATTGTGATATTGATGTACCAATGTCCAGCCAGCTCCCATAGTTTTTGACATTGTATAGTAGTTGGATGCCCATTATATTTGAATAAATTAATACTATGATGTGCAAATATCCTGTTGGTGCCTGAAAATATAAGAGTATTTTAGGTCATCAACGAATTAAATGAATTACGTTCATGATTATGAGTATCCACGCACGTTATTCATTAAAAAAATCATCATCCCTTGCTCTCCCTTGAGGAGCTCGGTGGCGCTGTGGTTAGCGCGTTCGGTCTGTGATCATAGTTAAGTAACTTTGGCAATGACTGGTACCAGGGGGGTGGATGACCAAAAAAATAAATAACTCGAGCTTCGGAAGGCACGTTAAGCCGTTGGTCCCGGCTACATCTATAATTGTTGGAAACTAACGCGCATTGGGCCTGCGTTGGAGTTGGCCCATGACATGACCGGTTTTCCTAAGACCTTCCCTTTGGAAATAGGGATTTTGTTTTTTTATAGCGAGGTAGGCAAATGTATATCCCTTATTTATAACAAAGCTAAAAAAAGAGTGTCAATGCGATAACATATCTTTTTCCCAACTATGAAAGCGATGGTGAAAGCGAAAAAGATACACGGATGGTCCGTGGTTAGATTTCAGCCTCGCATCAAATATTTTTATATGAAAAACAGTTTAATTCATAATAAACTTCATTGAGAATAAAATTAAGCAGCTCGATGGCGCAGGTTAGGCCGAATGCGCCCTGTGATCGTGAAAGGTCAGCAACTTTCGCAATGGATGGTTGACCAAAAAATTAGTATCTCGAGCTCCTTCGTTTTTCTGAAGGTACGTTAAGTCGTGAGTGAGTCCCGGCTGCATCTGTAGTCGTTAGCACCCACCAATCCGCACTGCCCGCGTGGTGGGTAACGGCCCAGTTTCCCTACTCCATCTATAGGGAAGGCCTGTGCCCCTGCAGTGGGGACATAAATGGGATCAGTGCCGTCTTTGACCTATTGGAGACCCTGAGCATATTAAGATAATGGGGCTCCTATGACTTCCGTTTGGTGATTTAACAGGAACTGGGGACTTTTTATTGATCTGAGGGGGCCCCCTATCGATCGCGGGGCCCTGCGCACTTGCCCAAAGTGCTCACTGGCAAAGACGGGTCTGAATAGGATGATAATGAAAACTTAATTATATTTACCTCGGTTAAATGTTGAACAGCCCTAAAACTGCAAGCGACGAGGAGGAATGGTGACAAAGTTTTCAACAATATTAGTGTAGTAATAATGAATGGTTTGAATGATGTTATAAAACATGTCACCCATCTAACTTCAAATGAATTCAACGATGCTATGTTCCCGGTGCCGAAAAATGCTAAAATAATGTATGTTGTCTGATCATCTCTAATGAAGGTTATTATTTGAACCAAGTAATCAAATTAAGTTTTATCCTACAATAATATAATTATTTTTAGACTAGCGGCCCGCCCTCGCTTCGCTTCGGTGTGGAGCTGAAGTGCAGACTACAGTATTTGTTCTCAGGCTTGTATTATACAGAATGATATTCATCTATGATTCTTCTTATACCTGCATGCAAAGTCTCAGCCCGATCGGTTTAAAATTGACAGTTTCATAAAAACTTTCATTCCCTATTTTATCCCCTTGGGGGTAGAATTGATCAAAGTCCTTTCTTAGCGGATGCCTACGTCATGACATCTACCTGCATGCCAAATTTCAGTCCGATCCGTGCAGTGGTTTGGGCTGTGCGTTGATAGATGTCAGTCAGCCAGTCACCTTTGAGTTTTATCTATAAAAGATACACTTCAACTTTGTAAACTTGATACCCCTTCAAGTCGTAATTGATAAAACGGACATTGACATATAATAACAAGTAGACTCGCAATGGCGCTCAGAGTGTCGGAAACAATTACGCACACCACTACCACGCTTTGATTACAAAGCCACGCAATGACAGTGTTTGGTTAAAAACTATACAAATACCACAAGATCCATACATACCAGGCCCTCAGAAAGTTGTGCAAAAAAAATTTTTATGTAGGTATAAGACACGAGCCACTTGTTACGAGTACAAGACTCGTCTACGTCACTCATACGTCACGCGTACATCATGTGTTTCCCAAGTGCAGGTGGCTCGATTGAGCAATCGTGTTGAAAAGTGCTTATTAGACAGATTTAGTTCATGTAAAACCTTCGGACAGTTTTGGGAGTCGCTTGAGCTTCAATCGTGGAAGCATCTTGACGTATAGTTTGTAAGACCGGATCATCGGGATCAATTAATATAAGTAATTTTGTATAACATTTAAATAAATAAAGTAATAATTTAAAGTTTAGTTTTTAAAAACCCTACCTGACGGCTCAATTCCGTAATTGGCGCAGTCGGTAGGATAGTCGAGTCAGTGCGAGCATCATACTTCGATCCGCCTGATAGTCGTGTCGTCGGCGTGTCGACTATCTCTACGAATCTACGCGAAGCAGTCGTCAGACGGGAAAGAAGAATCAACTTCGAAAACGGCGGTAATCCAAAAATCGATGGCCAAACACCACACTAAGCTAAGCATCCTGCTCCTGTGAGTTATATTATATAAGTTACGTATTCCTATTGGTTGCCAGCGGCCCCTTTCCTGTCTCCCGTAGGACGTAATAAGTAAATTAAATAAGTTTGTTTTAATAGTTAGAAAGATTTCTAGATATTCCTATTGGTTGACAGCGGCCCCTTTCCTGTCTCCCGTAGGACGTAATAAGTAAATTAAATAATTTTAATAGTTAGAAAGATTGCTAGATATTCCTATTGGCTGACATCGGCCCCTTTCCTGTCTCCCGTAGGACGTAATAAGTAAATTAATTAAGTTTTCTTTTAATAGTTTAGAAAGTTTTCAAGATTTTTTTTCCAAAGAAAAGTAGGGATATAGGGCCGAATCTGCGGCGCAGTATTCGTCCTAATTCTAGAGAATTAAGGTTTCATCGCGAAATCGAATTATCTACATTAGAAAGCATAGAAGAAGAAATGGCGACCGAACAACAATCTGTAGCTTATTCAAACGATATGACAGAAAGGATTTGGAAATCTTTAAGGCTAGTTCCTGAGTTTGATGGAAATTCGAACATTTTAATTAGATTTTTGAACACTTGCGACCAACTGATTTTAACATATGTTAATCCAGCTCCGGGAAATGAACTAAATAATTACGCTTTAATTAATGGAATTTTAAATAAAATAACCAGGCCTGCTGCTAAAACATTAACAACAAATGGCATCCCCAGGACTGGAATGGCATAAGAAATGCGCTAATCAACAGCTTTTCGGTTCACAGAGACGAGCCCGCCCTATACACCGATTTATCTATGTTAACTCAAGGTTCCGATACACCGCAAATATTTTACGAGCGAGTTCAAAATTTACTTAGTATAATTATGACTTATGTAGAATTACACGAACAACTTAAAACAATAGTTGAGGCTAAACGTGAACTTTACAAAAAAATTAGTTCTGCAAACACATACCATAGGCCTAGCCGAGCCTTTAGGCTCACGTGTCAGGTGCATGCGCCCCGACTCACTAGAAAAGACCTTGGAATTCGCCCAGGAAGAATTAAACGTCTTATACTTACAATCTAAAGCCAGTAACCCGCTAATTTCTAAGAAATCGATTAACGATGCCCCGTTTAATTACTCACCTTTTAATTCGCATGACTCACTTATGCCTTCGAGATAATTCAATTCTGGAATGCCTACACGTCAATTTAAACCTTTTAAATACCCTTTCATGCAACAAGCCACTTTCCCTAATAATTTTGTACTGAAAAATATTTCTTATAATAACAGCTTTAGGCCTATCCCCGCACACAATAATTTTACATATCAGAAGAACCCCTAAATAAATTCAAAAGACAGTTAATCATAAAAGTTAATACTAACCCTTGTCATGCTAGACCAAAAACGACAGTACCATTTGACATACAGAAAATCAATAGTTCAAATTTCGGAAAACAACCTAGAAGAAGATATTATATCTGTCGTAAAAAATCACATTGATCCCAAATTGCGCACAGCAATCCTCGTACAGTCTCTTAATAAAATGTACCCATTCTACAAAAAACCTTTAAAAATGCCACGGCAAACCTGGTCCTTGTCAAAAAAAAAATCAAGATATTTGTGATTTTCTTAACCAACAAGATTTGATATCAAAGTACCATGAAGGAAAAAGCAAATTTTAAATAATATCTCTTCAAATCAAAGAAAATTAGAAAAAGCAATAATTTCAATAAGTAATACACCTGTAACTGAAAAAGAACAGATGTATCAATTTACACAGATTTCCCAATTATTTAGCATACTTACGGAAAATGTTCTGGAACTCTCATCTGAAATAAGTAGATTAGGTAATATTTTAGCTTTTAGTCGCACAAACGTAATTCACCATTCTATACTATATATAAGTGATTTAAAAAATATGTTAACACAGCTTAAAAATCTATATAATCCCAATGCGTTACTAAACTTAGATGTTAGGTTTTATTACGATCTAATTACCTTATAGTCGGAGAGCCCACTGCGAAATATCTACCCGAATCGGACTTACGGACAAATCGTGTACGATTCGATGGGGAATGTGGTCGTGATAGGGTTGCCGGACATGATAAACCCTGTATCTTGACCGAAGGGTCGAAAAAAGGGCCACTTCCGGTCAATTTTTCGGGAGCCTGCTACCCGGATAAAACTTACAATCAAAATTAATGCCAATCGATAGGGGATGTTGAGCACTTTAAGGAAAAATCGGGTTGCCACCCCCCACCCTGTCAGGGGTTGCGGCAGCCACCCTTAAGTGTGACCCATTTTCCTATTGCACTACCCGGATCGAACTTACGATTTTTTTTTTTCCAAATCGAAGCTTGAACTTTCCCCAACACGAAAAAATAGGGTTGCCACTTCTGACCTTGACCAGAACAGCCGTCAGCCAGCCCCGAGTTACCCAATTTCGAGGTTCCAATTTCGATCGCAATTTAACTACCCGCATCGAACTTACGATTTCTTTTTTTTTTAAATCGAAGCTTGAATTTCCCCGAACACATAAAAACGAGGTTGCCAACTTTGGCCTTGACTGAAATTTTTTCTGCCAGTGAATTATGGCGTCAATATTAATTTATTTTATTTTGGAGCAGATCGAAGCGTTGAGATCGTGGCAACAGTGTAACGACAGCAGCTGCTACGTCCTCATGTATTATGGGGTCTTTTCAAAATTCCCAGGTAGAAGGGATCTATCTGTTTTCGGTCTAGCAAAAAAAAAAATTGCCGGGTTATTGAAATAGAAGTAGATATGTGTCGTTACGCGTTTTCTAAATAACACAACGAAACGTTACCGGCGTTCTCACAACGTTGTCGAAAACGTCTATTTTAAAACGATCTATTTTACAACCACCACGCAAAGTCAATATGTCGACTCGGCGAGATTGCAAATTTTTCAAAAATTGTACATGAAAAATATGAATAGCGACCACTTTCTGACAAGAGTTAAAGGTTTTGAGTCAAATCTGATTCCTCCGTGTTGGAAAACTTTGAAACAAAAAATCCTCAGGTCAAGCTTCATTAATGCAATGTGGCTAAATGCGACGAATGAAGTTTGCATTAAATTCAACCCTCAAGAATGTGGATGGATTCTCCATGATAAACTTGTCCCTCTGTGGTATCAAGGAGATCCAACCCCGTTGAGAGTAGAAGACATTATAATCATAGAACCGACTCGAAGCAATGATAATGAGGATTTTGCGGTTCATAGTTCCGACTCCGATTCCGAATGAGTTTGCCGTTAAGTTTTAATTGTAATGATTTTATATTTATCGTAATTGGAATTGTAAAATTATGAATGAATAAAACTGTTTGTTCATGTCATACAAACCCATGTTTTTCAATCCACGCCTCTACCAACCTGCCCAAAGATTGTTCATTCCTTAATGAAATAAAAAAAAAAAAAATCTGATTTTCTAATGTTTTTTCATGATTCGTTTCGATCTGCTCCAAAATAAAATAAATTAATATTGACGCCATAATTCACTGGCAGAAAAATTTTCAGTCAAGGCCAAAGTTGGCAACCTCGTTTTTTTGTGTTCGGGGAAATTCAAGCTTCGATTTAAAAAAAAAAAGAAATCGTAAGTTCGATGCGGGTAGTTAAATTGCGATCGAAATTGGAACCTCGAAATTGGGTAACTCGGAGCTGGCTGACGGCTGTTCTGGTCAAGGTCAGAAGTGGCAACCCTATTTTTTCGTGTTGGGGAAAGTTCAAGCTTCGATTTGGAAAAAAAAAAATCGTAAGTTCGATCCGGGTAGAGCAATAGGAAAATGGGTCACACTTAAGGGTGGCTGCCGCAACCCCTGACAGGGTGGGGGGTGGCAACCCGATTTTTCCTTAAAGTGCTCAACATCCCCTATCGATTGGCACTAATTTTGATTGTAAGTTTTATCCGGGTAGCAGGCTCCCGAAAAATTGACCGGAAGTGGCCCTTTTTTCGACCCTTCGGTCAAGATACAGGGTTTATCATGTCCGGCAACCCTATCACGACCACATTGCCCATCGAATCGTACACGATTTGTCCGTAAGTCCGATTCGGGTAGATATTTCGCAGTGGGCTCTTGGACTATTAGGATTATATTTTATTGATAAGAAATTTGTAATTGTCTTGAAGTTTCCTATAATGTGTCTAGAAACATATGACCTTTATAGACTGTCCTGTTCCTAATGAAAACTCAGAAATTATCCTTCCACCATTCCCATACATGGCATCCAATTCCCAGGAATTTGCGTACATGGAGGCTGAATGCCCGAAGATCGACACCTGGTACATATGCAAGCAGCAGCTTAACCATCAAACCCGAACACGCAGTGATTGCGTCTTCAATCTCATTTATCATCAGAATACAGGAGAGTACCATCCCACATCTATATCACTCCTGAAGGAAGCACTACTAGAACTGGACAGTCAACATTATATTTTATCATTACCTAACAAAATCAAAGTAAAAATATCATGCGGACAAGAAAAATATCATCTGTTAAAAGTAAGCTACTTCGCAACGATTCCCCGAAATTGCAGCATTCACACACCAGAATTCACAATTGTTAATACTGATGACAAATTTCGTGGGCAACCTGTTGAAATAATGACATTCCCACATTCGACTCCGATGTCAGCAAATTCGAAGAAAAACTTACCACATTATAATTTCACTACAATTGATTTGAACAAATTACACAATATTCAACATCAATTACTTATGGACCCACCTGTTAGAATTAACACCGTGGATTTATCCAGCTTATATCACACCACGATACCTACATACGTCATCATACTGTTAAGTGCACTTGCACTCATTAGTGTGGCTTACTACCTGAGACGGCGTAAGAACCAACAGCGAGTTAAATCTACACAGCCTCAAGAGATGGAAATGGCATTAGCGGGTTCTACACCATCCACCGAAGAAAGAAAGGCCGCAACATTTGCTCTCAATCTTCGCAAATAGTTGCTCATCTAGGAGGGAAGGTGTTACGAGTACAAGACTCGTCTTCGTCACTCATACGTCACGCGTACATCATGTGTTTCCCAAGTGCAGGTGGCTCGATTGAGCAATCGTGTTGAAAAGTGCTTATAAGACAGATTTAGTTCATGTAAAACCTTCGGACATTTTTGGGAGTCGCTTGAGCTTCAATCGTGGAAGCATCTTGACGTATAGTTTGTAAGACCGGATCATCGGGATCAATTAATATAAGTAATTTTGTATAACATTTAAATAAATAAAGTAATAATTTAAAGTTTAGTTTTTAAAAACCCTACCTGACGGCTCAATTCCGTAATTCACTTGTAATTATTTTGAAAACTTCGATTATTTAAAAGTAAAAATACCACTGTTCGATTTTCAAACCCTCCGCATTTTTTCGAGAGCCAATTAATTTTTTCTTGTCTCTTTAAAAATGGATCTGCATCGACAACATTTTTGTGCTATGATTTTATAAAATTTTAAATGTGGCTTGAAACCTGATGAGTCATTTGATTTTGACCTTCAAAAGCAACCATCTGCCGCTGGTGTAGCGAGTTCAAACGCGGTAGTCTTACTTTGGGGGATGAACAAAGGAGTGGTCGTCCTACGACGGCTGTCACTGAAGAAAGTGTGCTGGTATTAAAAAAATATTTCAAGAAAACAGTCGAATTACGTACGAGGAGATTCAGCATACTCTGCAGATCGGTTCAGGAAGTGTTCACAAGATTTTGCACGAGCACCTTTGCGTAAGGAGGATAGTTTCCCGCTGGGTGCCGGACAACCTCGCCGAAGCTCAGAAGCAGGCCCGTGTGGATTGGTGCAGTGATATGATACAAAAATTTTATGCAGGCTCGTCACGGCGCGTTTACGATATTGTGACAGGTGACGTATCCTGGATTTATCAATACGATCCAGAAACAAAGCGTCAGTCGACAGTTTGGCTGTTTCAAAATGAACCAACCCTACGAAAATGAAGCGATCGAGGGAGGAGCGCAGGGTAAATTTTGATCGCTACTTTGACGGGGTACCTAATTTCAATTCCACTTCGAGATCAAAGCAACATCAACGCCGAATGGTATACCACAAAATATCTGCCAGAAGTTTTTTCTGCTATGAGCAACAAGCGACCTAACAGCGGGGTCCGCGAGATCCTTCATCACCACGACAACGCGCCCGCGCACTCTGCGATCAAGACGAAGGACTTCCTGAACTCTAAACCAGTCAGAGTCTTGGGACACCCCCCTTACAGTCCTGATTTGGCTCCGCGTGACTTCTTTTTATTCCATAGAATAAAAAATCAGCTCAAAGGGATACAGTTTTCATCGCCGGAAGAAGCGCTAGCAGCGTTCGAGAAGACCGTGGAAGAGGTGTCTGCGGAAGACTGGAAAAAATGTTTTGAAAATTGGTACAGACGCATGAAACTTTGTATAGAGGCTGATGGAGAGTTCTTTGAAAAGATTTAATAAAAATATCTTTTTCATAGAAGTAAGTTTTTTAGTTTCTCAAAACTTTCTGAGTGTCCCACGTACATGCATACATTGCAAGTTAAATTAAAGCTTTTAAAAACGTGGTGTGTCATATTTCAGGTAAGTGCCCCTTTAAACTTACAAAATTAGGCAACTATCTTAGCTTTCTCTATCATATTGTTAACAACAAAATATCTGTCCGCGGGCGCCCTCCGCATCACATGTTCGTGTATGTCTCATTCGCACCACATCATCATCAAACTCTTTCTCTTTTGTACAATTTGACATTGAATGTTACTGCCACGACATAACGTGTTAATTTGAAGAAAAAGTGTTAATGTTATCTGTTTAATTGATGTTATACAGATAGCAACCCTACATTACACATACACTAGATAAAAACCACTAAAATTAGTGCTTAAAATATTATTTTATGGTGAGGTTAATTCAAAGTAGGGCATTACCCCAAATCCTTCCGCCAGTCGTAATTATTATGTACAGTTCAACTATTTAAATTTGACGCCTTTTCTTCGAACAGTCGTTATTATTATTAACTTGTCTGACTCGACCACGATGAGACGATAAGATTTAGACAATGTTTTTAGAAAAAAAAATGACATTTTCTTCTTGAACTAGTGTTAAATGTTTGCCAGTTAGGCAAGCGCTTAACAGCGTTAATGGTGACGTTTGCACCTTGACTATCGGTGTACTTCTAAATATTAAGCGTCGGTCGTTCCATGTAAAATTACTTTTCTTGTCACACATAGCCGACGCTGTATGTAGATACATATTGTAAAGGATACAAAAAAGAAAGCTCTTCTAAAATCTTGGCTACTTATGTTCCTTTCATAATTTATCAACTCTTTGGACGTCTCTTTATGGGTATCGAAACAATATTCTAGTATCTGTAATAAAAATAAATAGTGACTGAATAATTTTAATAAAGAAATGCCCTCATTTCAACTAATTACTTAATTATAATTGAATAACGAAAAAAAGACAAAAATTCTGGTTTATCAAATAAAATAATAATGTATAAAAGCTTAAGAAAGGGTGTATAGGTGTGTGTACGTAGGTATATGTGTAAAGGGTCTAAATAAATTTTAAGATTGATTCTATATCAGAAGTATTCATAGATACTTACACTAATACCATCAAATGGTAACAGTCTGAATTCGATAAATAACCAACAAGTTACATTTATAATCAATGTTACGATAAATAAGCCCTCGTGTGAGACCGACAGCAGTAAGTAGAAATTTAGAATTGAAGTGTAAATTGCTACAAGTCGACCAATTAACCTTTTCGTAAAGGTTAGTGGTATGATAAATGATGTAACTGAAACATAAGAAAATATAAATTTTAGTAACCTAAATATAAGTAATAATTGGCCCGATTTTGGAATGATTCTCTAAACTTAATTTAAAATAATTTGACATCAAGCAGTCTCTCCTTTTCATTCTGTAAAAAACATGATAAGGATAGACTGTTGTAGAAAAAAATTTTTTAGGTTGAGAGAATCATGTCCGAATCGGGGCCAATTACTTTTTAAACAACAATCAAAACAATAATAATTATTCTGAGCTTATTAAATAAAAGCTTAGCTTTTACATAGAATTGCAATGCCTGCTAAATAACTATCATTATTCTCTATCGCTTTAACATTATCTCCAATACTGATTGGCTAGTTTGACGTAAGTCCGATATTTACTTAATTTTAGCATTATGTTCAAAATAATAAAAGTTGAAATGTTTATAACAATCAACGAGAAATAAATAAAAATAAAACATTAAAAACCACCATACACCACGTGCGCTCAAAATGTGTCCCAATCAAGAAGTGCTTGAATACCACTCAAGCATTTCTTGGTTCACATTACGTGCGGACCGTTGAAAAGTCCTCCGTGAAAAAAATGCGAAAAGGATACTTATAGTAGGTAGTGCAGAGTATCATTTTTTCGACAGATATCTAATCAATGTTTGTTAAATTGACGCACTTAAAGTAATTTATGTTGTAATACCTACTCTGCGGCATCTTGACTTCAACAAAAAGAGGTAGCTATATAACCGACTATGCATTTGAACATCACAAATATTCGTGTATTTTTTTGGTCGGCTATATAGCCATCTGTTTTCCCCGCGCTCCGTATCTACTATATTGCTCACAGAGCAGTTAGAATAACAATGTAGTCATAGAAATATATTCTTTCGCGTATAGCAACAAATCGTAAAATTTTACGAACTTGCATTTCGAACTGGCATAACTCTTTGACGCATGCATTTAAATTAGGACCTTATATTAATGATGACTATGAATGTTTAAATAATGCCTTATATTGTCAGTAACGCAAGTTGTGCGTAGTAACGCAATTATCTGATGGAGCTCCGTGGTTCCACCTATGTACCTTTTGGACAGGTTTCAGCCACGATTTTGTTCGTGATGTAGTAGCTAAGTCAGTGGTTCTTAACGTTTTGGTGATGAGGGACCATTTTTTTCTACAACAATTTAGACCACATCGGGTGCATCCAGGGACCACCGGAAAGGAACCACCGATCTAGAGTATTAAATATCGTTGATACCAATAGGTGATCTGAATGTTAATAATTTAATTACTTTGCATTTGTCTTTAGAACGATAATATAAGAACTTTTGACAGTTCATGTCTAATTTTGGGGCCACACTAAGAGGATATGTGGATATAATTGAAGTCACCCTTGAACCGTTAACTTTCGTGGTATAGCTACAAACAGCAAATACTGTCCTAAAAATTATCGCGATGATGTACATATATAAATTTAGGGCGTTTCCCGGTTAAGTGGCTCCTGCATAAAAGTAGCAGCCACTTCCTGTTCTAACAACTACAATTCAAGTTACCACAGAAAGTAAGAAAAAGTGTAAATTTTACTCACCAGCAATGACCCAAGCCAGTCCTTGATAAACTACTGATACTGGTCGACCACTATCAAACCGGTTTGATTGCACATAAATGTTGTGAAGCGACAGTCCCAATAATATGATCTGTGCTAAAGTTAATAATACTTGCTCATGCGATTCTCTATTGGTGTTACATAGAGGTAATAACACTTTCCAAGTGTATAGAACCAACACTAAAATCCAAAATACACCAGCTAGTATCCTGAAAAGATAAATAAAAATCAATTAGCAACTTTTTCTACCTCCGTGGAATTGTAATGTAAAGTGACTTCATGAGTTATCTCATTCTGAAGTCATTTTTCAATTTGACGACTCTGTATATAATACAGGAAGAAAAAAACAACCCTTGCTGATATTCTTGATGGTTCTTCTACGTACAAGGTCTCCCGCCGTAGATTTGTGAACCGATGGCATAGCTTTTCGACATTCACAAGTGCTTGTAACAGCCTAGACTGAATAAACGATATTGAATTTTGAATTGAAGCGAAGGCACACCTGGCTACTTAAGACCTGAGCGTTTTCCAAAAAGGTGTACCCCCAACTATTGAGCTGTCCCCCGTGTTTGAAATATAATAAAAAATATAAATTTATGTCTCAAAAATTATTTTAATGATTGAAAAGCATTAAACACACTCTAAACTAGTTAAGTTTAAACAAAATCTTACTACTTTGCGTTTATATTTAAATAATGACCATTTTTATATACCAAGGGCTCACATTTTGATGTTGTCCCACTGTGTTCTTCGATGTCGGAAGGCGATACTGTAATTTTTTCTACTAGGATAGCATCATTTTTTGGTAGCGTTTGAAAATACACTGATATACCTATCGTCGCCGGTAGTTCTTAATTTAAGTTTTATGATCATTTAAATACAGTTTGTTTTTCAAAAAAGTCGTAAAAAGTGGTACCGACCGGATATGTCGGTTTTGACACGGTTAAAACTGGCATTTGAAAATTTACCAAGACTATTTCAGTTTTTGAAATGGCAACAACATCCTTTTTACCCACCGACCGCCATTTTATAAAAGATATTTGTCAAATACCCTTCGAGTAAACAGACAGACGTGTTTATGTGAGAGCCACGGCCGTCAAGATTTCTCCTTTCGGGTTTGACACACATTTATCTACTAATTCAGGTAAGTTTAACTTATTTAACTGTTTTTAAATTATGAGCAATATCCTAATGTAAGGTTATTTACATTTGGTAACAAACGTAGGTAAAAGTTTTCGTCAGAATAAGTTTTTGAATATAAAATGGGAAGTGAACGTCACGTCAGTTTTGCGACATTTTACCCCGTGACCTACAAGCTGACTAGTAAAGTCGCAAAACCGACACCATAAAGCTAAGACTACATGATGGCATTACCTTTTTACCCAACTGACGAAGAAAGGAGGGTAATGTTTTTCGAGCATATTGTATGTATGTATGTCCATTTCTTTGGCACGCCCTACTAGTCCAGTCGGAATAGCCATAATTTGGACCGACTTCTATTCTAAGACACCAGCGCTTAGCCAATTTATTCCTAGGTAGTCTAGACCCCCACGAATATGCCCTCCATTTTTCCCCGCTAGAACCCGTGTTTTGTAGCCAGGAAAATTGTTTAAACAAAGAAAAACCGTTTTTTTTGAGTTTTTTTGCTTGTAAACGGGGATTTTGAAAATTTTTTTGAATCAAAGTTGTTCATTAGCTTGCCCTCTACAAAATCAGTTCTATGAAAAAATAACGTGAGATTGTTAGTTTAGCAGTAAATTGCAATTATGTCGGTTTTACGTTTGCAACAATTCAACATGTTATAATAAACATTTTGATTTCTAAAGTAGTTTATCATGTGGGTAACGCCACTCCCAAGAGAGTCATGTAAAATTTATCGACCTGTGTCGCAAACTTTAGCAACAATTCTCAATCTCCGAAAAAAAAGTACTTGCCTGTCCCGTTTTTCCCAGAAGGCGCACAGCGGGAAAAAAAATTCAGGTGATTCGATTCACCAAGAATTTTGAGGAATCGATCGAGTAGAAAAAAATCGTTAATAAAAATGTTCGTTTATGGACGATTTAATTTTTTTTTAAAAATTGAAATAGAATATTTTTTTTTAAACTAATGTATTTTTCTCTCCTCAACTCGAATATACTATTCTGAATATATATATATATATAAAATAAATATATATATATAATCTTTATATATATAATTCTTCTGTGAGTGTGTATGTCACTGAACTTCTCTTAAACGACTGGACCGATTTTGATGAAATTTTTTGTGTGTGTTCAAGGGGATCTGAGAATGGTTTAGATTCACAAAGACGTGTAGACAGGACAACGTCTGTCGGGTCCGCTAGTATATATATAATACTAATATACCCTGAGAATTCCGATTATGAACCGGAAGAAATAAGGACGAAATTAATTTAATTGAAATATAGAATACAACGCAGTCTTGTAATCGAATTTTAGTTAATAGTTTTGTAAATAATTTCTGTACATAAATAAACTGAATTTTTTAAATTTTCAATCGTATATTCGAGTTGAGGAGAGAAAAATACATTAGTTTTAAAAAAATAATATTCTACGTCAATTTTTAAAAAAATTTTAAATCGTCCAAAAACGAACATTTCTATTAACGATTTTTTTCTACTCGATCGATTCCTCAAAATTCTTGGTGAATCGAATCACCTGAATTTTTTTCCCCGCTGTGCGCCTTCTGGGAAAGACGGGACAGGCAAGTACTTTTTTTTCGGAGATTGAGAATTGTTGCTAAAGTTTGCGACACAGGTCGATAAATTTTACATGATTCTCTTGGGAGTGGCGTTACCCACATGATAAACTACTTTAGAAATCAAAATGTTTATTATAACATGTTGAATTGTTGCAAACGTAAAATCGACATAATTGCAATTTACTGCTAAACTAACAATCTCACGTTATTTTTTCATAGAACTGATTTTGTAGAGGGCAAGCTAATGAACAACTTTGATTCAAAAAAATTTCAAAATCCCCGTTTACAAGCAAAAATACTCAAAAAAACCGGTTTTTCTTTGTTTAAACAATTTTCCTGGCTACAAAACACGGGTTCTAGCGGGGACAAATGGAGGGCATATTCGTGGGGGTCTATACTACCTAGGAATAAATTGGCTAAGCGCTGGTGTCTTAGAATAGAAGTCGGTCCAAATTATGGCTATTCCGACTGGACTAGTAGGGCGTGCCAAAGAAATGGACATACATACATACAATATGCTCGAAAAACATTACCCTCCTTTCTTCGTCAGTCGGGTAAAAAGGTAATGCCATCATGTAGTCTTAGCTTTATGGTGTCGGTTTTGCGACTTTACTAGTCAGCTTGTAGGTCACGGGGTAAAATGTCGCAAAACTGACGTGACGTTCACTTCCCATTTTATATTCAAAAACTTATTCTGACGAAAACTTTTACCTACGTTTGTTACCAAATGTAAATAACCTTACATTAGGATATTGCTCATAATTTAAAAACAGTTAAATAAGTTAAACTTACCTGAATTAGTAGATAAATGTGTGTCAAACCCGAAAGGAGAAATCTTGACGGCCGTGGCTCTCACATAAACACGTCTGTCTGTTTACTCGAAGGGTATTTGACAAATATCTTTTATAAAATGGCGGTCGGTGGGTAAAAAGGATGTTGTTGCCATTTCAAAAACTGAAATAGTCTTGGTAAATTTTCAAATGCCAGTTTTAACCGTGTCAAAACCGACATATCCGGTCGGTACCACTTTTTACGACTTTTTTGAAAAACAAACTGTATTTAAATGATCATAAAACTTAAATTAAGAACTACCGGCGACGATAGGTATATCAGTGTATTTTCAAACGCTACCAAAAATGATGCTATCCTAGTAGAAAAAATTACAGTATCGCCTTCCGACATCGAAGAACACAGTGGGACAACATCAAAATGTGAGCCCTTGGTATATAAAAATGGTCATTATTTAAATATAAACGCAAAGTAGTAAGATTTTTGTTTAAACTTAACTAGTTTAGAGTGTGTTTAATGCTTTTCAATCATTAAAATAATTTTTTAGTTACAAGTTTACAAGCAAAAAAACTCAAAAAAAAACGGTTTTTCTTTGTTTAAACAATTTTCCTGGCTACAAAACACGGGTTCTAGCGGGGACAAATGGAGGGCATATTCGTGGGGGTCTATACTATCTAGGAAAAAATTGGCTAAGCGCTGGTGTCTTAGAATAGGTCTCATGTTTATTCCGACTGGACTATACATCCTAAACGGTTCGACGGATTTTGACATGCGAGGTGTCATTCGATTCGTCGCGATTGTGTAAGTGACACTAGTATTAAATTTTAAAAAATCAAATTCCCTCTTTTTAACTGTTGTGTTAGTAGGTGTATCTGATCTCTGTTTAATTATATATTTTTTATGATGATTATTTAATAAAAATAAAATAAAATATTGATTTTATTTAACCCTGTACACTAAACACTTGAAATATGATTAGAGCGTGTGACCACCATTAACATTTATCTGCGAAAATCGGAAATATAACCGTAGTATGGCGAGAGCAGAGGTCCGGGGTCCCACGGTGTACACCCAGCTTTAGAAAAATTGGTGTGTCGGATTTGCAACTGTCCCCCGTTTTGCGACAAGGTTTTTTTAGTTTTTACAATTTTTTATATGAAGAGTTACAAATAATTTGTATGCATTATTGAAAATGATTTTAAATAGACCCGAATCCAATAATTACTTTGTCGGTTAAACTACATATTCATTGTTAAATCGTAAAAGTAACTGTTACTTTGGCATCAGCTGTGACAAAACCGAACTTAAAACCAGAATAATTAGTATTATATTGAGTTGGTGATTAAATTGGCCTTTTTGCAATAATTAATTACTGATAATCTTCGTAACTCAATTAAAATCTTTTGCGTCTTTCTTCATACTTAGTAGATAACTAGCGTTTATGATAGTTACAAAACTGACATTTTATTCTTCAGAGCTAGTTTGATTTGATGATTTCTCGTATAATAGATTAATCTCCAACAAATTAAATATACTGTCATAAACTATTATGTATCTTAATAATATCTAATACAAAAAATCATCAAAAATGGGATAACTTATAAATAAAGATAAATTCAAGGCAAGTACACTTTTTTGGGAAAATGCTCACCTGCAGAGGCCATGATGTCTCTAATGTAAGTTATGCAAATTATCGTGACATACCTTGCAACAAATCGTGAGCATCCTCACGGACCAAGGACATGGACACTTTAAAACATCTTTTTACAATTGTTGCCTCCAGACAGCCGCCTGTACCGAGCCTGCATGGAGGAGGAGGAGATTCATATCCTTCTACGATTAAGCAGCGTGGTCAAACAACGGAAGACACACCTGTCCTGCTACAATGCAGAAGCGTGGCCAAACAACCGAAGGCAAACCTGGCTACTCAAGATCTGCAGAGGCATTAAGGGAACAATAATGAGCTTCTTGTTGAGGAGCAGGATGGTGAGATCCATCCCCTTCACGCTAAATAGGCACCTGGTCTAGAGTTGCGGTGATTACCTGCCTTAGTATAGAAGAAGGAGAACCTAAAGTCCAGTGAACAAAAGAGAGTCTAAACGTATTTGTAATAAACCTGTAAAGATCATACTTCCTTCCTACTAACATAATAAACGCTCAAGTTTGTTACCCCTTCACGCTAAACTGGCTAAAACGGATTTGTATGAAAAATGGCATAAATGTAGTTTGTTACCTTAATTGACACATAGGATACTTTTTATTTCGGAAAAACATTGGGTTCCTGTAGGATTGGGGTATGGAAGCTAGTTACAATAATACGATTGGGATATTATCATAGGGGCCGTCCATTAATCACGTGATGTTTTTTTTGGCATTTTTTTAACCCTCCCTCCCCCTTGGTGATACATGGTCAGGTTAGACTACCTACAATAAATCTTATTTTTTAAAATATTTATAAAATACAGGTATAAGGACGTTTTCAATTTATGCGTTTCTTGACGGCCTGCTGCGGTGCCGAAGTGGTGCGTTTGTCGTACAGCGTACGGACGATCCTTTTTTTTCATACAAAACGCGCGGTGCGGCAACAGTCCTGTTGTCGAGCGTGCGCGGTACCGGCACCTCACGGTGAGGTGCACCGCAGCAGGCCGTCAAGAAACGCATAAATTGAAAGCGCCCTAAGTATCATCTAATTTTATTATAGAAAATTAAAGACTAATAGACCAATTATATCTAAGTTATTACGACAGAAAGGTAGGAACTTTTTTTTACTTATACATGAACATTATTCAGTGTACAGTATCCTCGGACCACGGAAATACACGTGATATATTATTACCCCCCCCCCCCCCCCCCCCTGTGATATTTCGTGATTTTTTATGGACCCTCCTTTTCGAGCCTCATGTGATTAATGGACAGCCCCATAGTTCCTACTCACACTAGTTCTATATATGTATTCTTTCCTATGACAGGCATTAAGGAAAAACAGCTAAGCAGTATACAACCAGTAGGCCAGGCAATCAGCACATATGCAGATATATGGTTCCTTGTTGATGAAAAGAATGGCCACAACGCCATACCCAGCAGAGGTACACTCAACATCCAGCGCTCTGTAAAGGACATACCCTAAAACACCAATAATTTGAACCAGTAAATAAATTAGGTTTTATTTATTAATTATGTTGATGCCAACTTACCAGTGCATACGATCCTACTGTGTAACACAAAACTTCAAGCCATATCAAATATGTTTTTCTACTTCTCTGTGTAAATATTTGTTTCCAAATGTTGAATGGTGTCAGTACTGACCTCCACAAGAATATGGGCATCAACATATAAATATAATATTGCAATGGGAGATGTTGTACTGAAAATTATAATTTGAATAAGTACTTAATGTTTAATTAATTTATCATCATAAATATAAATTATCTAATGGAAATTACCATAAACTAAATTAATTGAAATAAATACTGCTATGTAAAAAAACATATTTGGCCAATTAAACCATTTTCTAAGAATATTATTGGAATGTTTTTTGTTCATGGTTTGTTCTAGCAATGATTTCATCAAAAACAATATCCATCCCAAAAATGATAAAGTGACTAGAATTAAAAGAGGTTTTTGATAATAATTTTGGTAGTATTCTAAGCCTGTAAGGCTTAAGTCAATAATCTCTTCGCTTAACATAATTAATTTCTGATTTTCTGCTATATCTTCACTTTTGATGAGAATTTCTGTAAAATCTATAATCTCTTTGAACTTTTCCTTGTTGAAGGGTTCATATGGTTTGTATAAAATTGAGCATGCATTTTCTTCAACATCTTGCCTTTTTCTGTCATACTGTGCAGCTAGCTGCCGACAATTACTATATAAAGCTTTCGCCTTGTTTGATAATGACAAATTCATTATTTGCAATGGAACTCTACCCTGAAAATAAAAAAATATATAAGAAAATACTATTATTTTGTAAAACAATTATAAAGATTTGCCAGAAATTTAAAAACTAGTTAAAAATATTTATAAATGGATACTTTTTGTATTATTAAATTTATGTCATAAGTTTAACAATCTTTTTCTATTTATTATTAATTTATAAAAAGCTTAAAATTTTGTATCTACAATTAAGCAAAAATAAGTAACCCTCATTTTTATATATGATATTTACACAACATATTGAAAAGTGTTTTAGTATCTACTGGTACTCAATAAATGCTAGTAATGCAGACTTACAATTGAGTTGACAGGAACAGGAATCGACAGTATAGTAGACATAAGAGGCGCTAAATCTGCCTGATTTATATCAAATCTGTGATCCAATGACATACTCAAACTTTTCTGATCTGTCATAGTCATGTTTGCTTGTTGTACTCCAGAACCCCACAGTACATATGGAGTTTCTGTTTCATGAGCAAGACCAGCTCCATGTGATCCTACATGACAAGAAACAAACTTTAACAACCACTGTGTAAAAGCTAACATACTATTTAATATTTTCTGAATGTAAAAAACTATTTATATTTTACTTTTTACAATCTATCAAGTATTTTTTTTGTTAACTGCTGTTTTTTAAATGCACAAACAGGCTGGTGTGATGTACCTGTCACTCACATCTATATGTTGCTAAGCAAAACCAAGCATATTGCACCAGCCTGGTGTCCAGCAAAACAATGGTCATTAACAATTAGCAATTAGGCCTTAATAATTAGTGTAAATTAAATACCGAAAGACTGTTTCCCCTTCAAAGGATATAAAACAGATATTTGAGTGTGGCCTACATTGACCCACTAACTTTTACAAAACAAGTATTGTATTGTATTTGATACAAGTTACACACTTACCCCAATCTGTCATGCCATGGTCTGATGTCATTAAAAATGTTGTCCTCCCATCGTCTTGGTAAAAGTCTTTGATAACTTTTTCTATTTCCATGATACCTTCATCAACATGCCTAATTGTTGTTAAGAAGTTCCTATATCAAAAAGAATAGTATTAAGTAGAAGAAAAGTATGTAGTAAGAGCAATCTCAGAAATAAAAACTTACTCTGTTTTTGGTTTATGTGTGTGACCAGAAGTATCAGTGCCCAATAAATGTAAAAATAATATGATTTTTGGGACATGCAAAATTTCACTAACACGTAAATCAGATTTGGCATTTTCAAAAAACTCTTTCACATTATCAAAAACCCAGGCATCCTGAAGAGTAGTATTTTTGTCAGTACTAAAAGTTTGATCATATGGATAAAATTTCTTGCTGAATATATTACTCTCTTGGCCACTTTTTGTGAATATTTCAACAATGTCATAGGCACCCCAACACCATGTGTAAGAGCTCTGGTTAAACACAGAATCAAAGTCAACCGGATTTTCCTTCCATCCTTTTAGAACAGCCGAGGGGTCTTCGTAGAAACCTGCAATAACTGCTACATGTCCTGGCCGAGATTCTGTAGGCATACGAGTGTTTGATATACCCCATCGACCATGAGTATTTGCAATTGACCTACAAATTTTCATTAATGGTATAGAAAGCAAATACATAACATGACCTCGTTACATAATTTAATAATCATTGTTTATGTATATAAACATTCTCTGAACCTATCTAAAGTACAGCTACTTGCATTTTTGTAATCAGAAACAGAATACAAACCCTACCACACAACAATACCACAGATGGGATTAAATCTTACAAAGAACAAGACAATAAACTATGACTGCCTTATTACAAAATGTAGACTAAAGTTAAACCTGGACTAAAATTGATGTTGTCACTTTTGTTTTCTAAAAATAAGACAGAGACAACATTAGGTTTAGACCAAGACTAATTTTAGTTTGCGTTTTGGAATAAGCCAATGAGGGTTCTTAATTTTATGTATCCTTACCTTAAATAGGGCATTGTAGTGTAATTTAAAAATGATTCCGCTCTTAATCCATCCACAACAAACAGAACAAGTCGATCAGCAAGTGCATCATGTTTTGGTTGATAGGGAACCACATTTTTTACAATGGGTGACTTGAAATATATATCAAAGATTGAAAAAAGGAAAATAATATGAATACAAAGTCCGAGAAAGAACATCACAATACATTAATAGAGTTCTTATTCAAGATAAATCCATTTGGTAGTTCTGAAAATGATTATTCAATCATTTACTAGTTAAAAATAAAAATAAAGTTTTGGATTAATTAACATTGGCTTCTGTTTGGTTGATAAGTTTCACAGATTAATAAAGATTCTCAGACCAAATAAAAAGTACTTTTTATTTGGTCTGAGTAAAGATTATTATTATTAAAATCTCGCTTCTATGAATACTCTTTTTCTTTAATATCTAAATTTGCTGTTCTACGGTGTCTAGTCGGATTGAATACACCATATAATAAATACTATCTTCTTCTTCTAAATTGGCAGTGGGTGCCCTTTTGTAAATTTCGCCAGGAAAAACCAAACAGAACGAAGTTGGAAAGAAACTTAGATCTTTTATAATACTAATTATTTCGGTTCTGAATTATCATGGAACCAGGAATTTTGTTTTTTTTTGTTGTTAAAGTTCTCCCATTTTAGGGAAGGCAAAGGGAACAATGCCCATACGGCCTAGTCTTTAATTAAATTAATCTTCTTTTTGTTTTTACATTAGAATGTCGGTGTGACGCATTCTAATGTTTCTTGGAGCGTTGGCACGAAACGTATTGAGTTGGCTTTTTCGATAAGCTTCTGTGAGGTAGTCAACACTACAATAAAATTCTCACGTCCACTTGACCGGAATAGCGTATATTTTAATGATTCCACTAATTCTTTAGTTACGCAGACAGTTGTTACACAAAACCACACCAATTTTATTTCACAATATCCACTATGAATGAATTTAAGAATAATTAAATTAAGACGCCAACCGCACTCGATGAAATCCCGCCAAAAACCTCCCAGGAATTTTGGTTTCTTCTTCTTTTTCTTTTTTTATGGCATGCATGGTTTGTGCGTTCAGCCAATGTCAAGTAAAAGAATTTTGGTTTGGTTTTTTTTAGATCTATTCTTCTCTATTGAGAAAGGCAAAGGCATAGCCATGCAGCCATCGTCTTATTTTTGTATTAATCTTCCTTTTTTTTACATTAGAATGTGGGTGTGACGCATTCTAATGCTTCTTGGAGTGTTTGGCACGAAATATATCGAGTTGGCTTTTTCGATAAGCTTCTGTGAGGTAGTCAATACTACAATAAAATTCTCACGTCCACTTGAGCGGAATAGCGTATATTTTAAAGATTCCACTAATTCTTCAGTTGCGCAGACGGTTGCAACACAAAATCACACCAATTTTATTTCACAATATCCACTATGAACAAATTTAAGATTAATTAAAATAAGACGCTAACCGCACTCCATGAAATCCCACCAAAAACTCTATGTTTTTTTTAGTTCTATTCTTTGGGAAAGGCAAAGGCCAATTTTGTATGAACCTCTTTTTTTTTTTTTTTTTTTTTTTTTTTGTATGGCTTCGCACGGTTTGTGCATTTTAGCCAATTTTGTAATTATTATAAAGGTTAGGAAACGTAAGGAAAAGAAAAGGAGGGTTTTCGGCATTTTGAATATTAGGATCAGGAGGGTATACATATGTTAGTACAAGACTAAATTAAAAAAATATATATATAAAAAGAATTAATTATTAACATATTTACAAAATAACACAATAAAGATATACACAAATTATATTTATATTTTAATATTATTATGGATGATGAAATTGGTGAGGCAATTATATACAGATGGTTTATTAGTGGACAATAAGGTAGGCACAGAAGTAGGGAAAGGAATATGAAGGGACACAAGATCATTGAAAAAGAAGGAGCGGTCATATTTTAAACAAACAAAGAATATGTGGTTGAGATCACCAACCATACCCATGCCGCAGTCGCATATATTGTTGTTAATAATGCCAATTCTAGTGAGATGATCAAGAGTGCAGACATGTCCAAGACGCATGCGAATTACAATCGAGATTTCTTTCTTACCATACTTGGATTTACGGAACCATGGTTTAATAGGAATGTGTGGTTGAATTGATGCAAAGAATTTACCTTTTTCTCGCGAACTTCGTTCCCAAATATTACACCAGGCACTATAAAGATCATCTTTAGGAAGAGATAAAAGGTCATTGCTATAGTTTTTTAAGGATGCATGTCCCCACAATACACTGCCTCATTTGCTAACTTATCAGATAGCTCATTTCCAGTAATGCCACAGTGACTTGGAATCCATATGAACTGAACGGAGAAGTTATAAGTTTGACACTTGTAAAGTAGTTTTCTTATTTCATAAATAAATGGAAAATGAAATTTCATTCTGAGGGGGAATTTGCTTAGTGTTTGGAGAGAACTCATAGAATCTGTGAATATGATAGTATTTTTAAGTTTCATAGTAATTATGTATTCCAAGGCCTTCAAAAGACCATAACATTCGCCTGTAAACACCGAAGATTCAGGGGGTAATTTGATTTTTTGAGCAATGTTATATTGGGCATGATACACACCTATACCTACATTACCAGATGGATTATGTTTTGAGGCATCCGTGTAAATATGATGATGGTTATTATATTCAGTATCAATAAGGTATTTGAAATTAAATTTTGTATTGGAATCTTTGTTAATAGAATTTAAAATAATATCTGGACATGAAATCAAGGACTCGTAATTAGCTTCAAAGGGAGGAAGTAAATTAGAACGATGTATAGGGGATTGGAGGTTCAAATATTTTTTGTAGCTAATTATTAAGCATGGAGAACATTTATTAACCCAATAATTGGAATATTCCATTTTTTCTGTCAGAGATTGCAACCCAAAAAAAATTGGGTGATGAGCTAACTGGATGGAACGAAAGAGATACCTATCAGATAAATATTGGCGTCTAAGATGTAATGGCGATTCGCAGCACTCTACCTGTAAAGCATTGATTGGACTTGACTTCATGGCTCCTGTAACCAATCTTAGAGCTTTTGATTGTATACGGTCAAGCTTTTTTAAAGCGCTACTACTCCCAGGTTCTAATAAAAAAGTACCATAGTCTAATATACTACGTATCAAGGAATTATAAAGTAATTTGAGAGTAAAGGGATGAGCGCCCCACCAGACACCAGCTAAACACCTAAGAATATTTAAAAGACGTTCACATTTATTAACCAAATGTTCACAATGCTGTGCGCCGGTAATTTTGGAGTCTAAAATAATTCCCAGGTATTTAAAGCTGTCTTGAACAGGAATACTATCAACATCATACATGATTTGTATTGGGGGAACCTTACGTTTTCTAGAAAATATCACCACACTACTTTTAGACACTGAAAGGCTTAAGCCATTCTGATCAAGCCATTTCTTTAGACAAGACAAAGCAGATGATACATTGGAGGAAGCTCTTTCTATAGAGCTATCATTAGAGTAGATAAGAAGATCGTCTGCGTATTGAAGAATTTTAACATTATTTTTAAATACGGTTTCTAAATCATACGTATAAACATTATATAATAGAGGACTTAGGACAGAACCTTGTGGTAAACCTTTCCAGACAGTTCTGGTCATGTCATTGTCAAAATCAAATATTAATTTCACAGTTCGCTCATTAAGTAAATTAATAATTAAGTTAGAAAATCGGAGGGGAACATCAAGAGCTTCCAATTTAGATTTTAATATCGATAAAATTACATTATCGTACGCGGACTTTATATCAAGGAAAGCAGCGACTACTGATTTATTGGACGTAAAAGCTAATCGAACGTCTATGGTGAATATACTAATATTATCAATAGTACTTTTGCTTTTACGGAACCCATATTGACTGTAAGAAAGAGCCTGTTTATTTTCTAAAAACCATTCCAAACGGGTTTTTATTAAATGTTCAGCCAATTTGACTAAAACAGTAGATAACGCTATAGGACGATAGTTATCAGCAACATTTGGTGATTTATTAGGTTTCAATACTGGCAATACTCTCTGAGATTTCCATGGTAACGGGACGTTTCCAGCAGGCCAATTATGCTCGCTAATTGTGATATTGTTTTGATGTCAATTTCACATTACGCATTATGCTCTCCGAAAAATGTGATATCAAAATGACATCAAATTAAGCGTATTATGATCAACTCTTTAAAATGATATTAACTTGATATCAACCTAAATGCGTATTAATATGTTCAACTTTTTGACTTAAAACACTTTCGCATAAACGTCAAAAAAGTGATACAGACGTGATACAAGAGGTCTTCAATCGCGACTGTGGTAGCCTGTATATGGTTCTTCTTAAATTCTGGTAGTGGGTGATGTTTAATGGTTTCCCGTATTATGACTGCTATGCCTGCGTGCCCTGTTCCATCCGGGTGATTGGTCGTGTACGGTATTCACGGAAATTTACTTTAGATGCATTAGTACAATGAGATTCCGAGATGAGGATGAGATATCAAGGTTTTGCTGTCTTATTAGTAAGACTTCGTTTTTGTTCGGTGATAAGCCATTTACGTTCCTTGTTGCTATACGCAAAGATGCCATTAGGACAGTTTGGTTTTCAGTGTGGTTATGAGCTGCATGAGTGTGCCCATTTGTTGTAGGATTATTTCGAACTTTTCGGATTGTTTTATGAGTATTTTTTCTATTGTGGTCATCTGAGCCTCTGAGCTTTGAGATTTATTGTTGTGATCTTTCTTTGTCTCCCACTTTCTTTGATTTTTCGTTTCTGTGGCAGATTTCACTTTCTCGTTGTGGGTATGTAGAACCTTAGCGTATGTTGTAGGTCGGGATTCTGAATTTCCATTATATTCAGGTATAGGGTTCGGTGCAATTTTCGCCTTTCGTAGAGTATACCTCACAGCCTTTATAATTAGCAGGATGGGCGCCGAAACACAAGTGCATTTAGCCGGAGTGTTTCTGTCTTTCTTGGTGCAGTCTGGCGTTTTATGTTGTTGAGCGCATTTAACAGCGGTATGGCCTCATGCAATTGTTTTTCGAATGACCATACTGCTGACATCTTTGGCATTGGACAATCGTTTTTTTCTTTTTCGGATCTTCTATGACAACTGCCTGGTGGTAAACATATTTTAATTCTTTGACGGCCTTGTTATTAGGTCCTGGTAAGAGATTAACAAAGAATGTTGACGTGGGTTTTTTTTCCGGGCCATATCGAGCATTAATGATCTCTACCGCTACCGAGTTCCCTGTACTTTCCGTTGTGAAATAAAATTGTTGTCATTTCATGTTACAATCGTCTGCGCAACTAAAGAATTCACGGAATCTTTAAAATATTCGCTATATCGGTCAAGTGGGTTTGAGATCTTTCTTGTAATTTACCTCACAAAGGCTTGTCGAAAAAACTGACTCGATTTGTGGCAAACACTCCAAGAAACATTAACATGCGTCACACCCACATACCAATGTAAAAAGAGGTTCATAGAAAAAAAAAAGAAAAAAAAAAGCGCGGGAAACGTTTAACTTGGTAGACGCGTTTTATGGTGAAAAACTTTATATATTAATTTTTCGATCAGAAGGGTACATTTTGTATATTTTTGTAAATATTAATTATTATTTAATATATTGTGTACATATTTGGATCATTGGTAAGTCCTCTTACTAATTTTTTACCGTCATGAACGATCCCCCCGATGACCCGGGGGGATTCGTTCCCCCGGCAGGTAATTTTGTCACTGTGCAGTCGGAATCTGGAATGGATACTGATGCATCCACCTCCAATAGGACATTAAAGCGGAGTCGCCGCTCAAATATTATTTGTAAACACTGCAACAAAAAAAGAAGGAGACATGGTAACTCTGAAGCTAAAATAAATGGTTGTTCATGTACATCTGAATCAGATCTTACTCCTCCATCAGTTCCATTACCCATGCCAGAGTCTTCAAAGCCCACTACAAATATAACTGCTAATACAACAAATGAAAAGAGTTTACCTTCATCTACCCCAATTGGCCGGAAAAATTACTGTGAGACTGACGTAGCTCCTTTCATTCTTCACGTCCAAAAAATATTAACATCCCCTGATGATAAATTCACGATTCACCCTGTGAAGTTTGGCAATTTTTTAAAGAAAAATAGATTCCCAAATATTGTTAACGGAAGTGTCAAGAAAGTAGGTCGCAATAAAATTGCTATTGGTTTTACTAATTATAAAGATTGCAATTTCTTTCTAAATAACAAGTCACTTGAGGAGAACAAATTTAAAGCATTTATACCTACATTTAATGTAACACGAATGGGATTGGTAAGAGGTGTTCCTGCTGAGTGGTCTCCTGAAGAGGTCATGGCTAATTTATCTGTGCCTGTAGGATGTGGTAATATAATAAAAGTCCGAAGAATGAACTTCAAAACTTTTGTTGAAGGCAATCCCACATGGAAGCCATCTCAGACAGTCATTATCACATTTGATGGACAAGTCCTTCCAAAAAGAGTTTTTCTATGCTTTAATGCTTTAAATGTAGATTTATATATATTCCCCACAATACAATGCTATCATTGCTGTCGTTTTGGTCACACAAGGGCACAGTGCAGATCAAGTCCTCGATGTTACAAGTGTGGTAAAGACCACTCTGGTGACTCTTGTGGCACTGCAGAGGAGGATGCTAGTTGTTGTTTATGTACTGGTTTCCATTTTGCTACCAACAAAACTTGCCCAGAGTTTATGAGGCAAAAACAAATTAAAACATATATGGCCCAAAATTGTGTGTCTTATGCAGAAGCTGCCAAGGTACATCCTAATGTCTCCAAATCATATGCTGACACCTTAATATCAAAACCTTCTTCTAATCCCATTATTTACAATAAAAACTATAAAATGCCCCTGACTCAACACAACAGATCACCCACAACATCATACAAGAAAACAGTGTTTCTAAAACCCCAAAAAAATAATTACCACAATATTGGCTATGATAGAGATGCACACAATGCTATTATAAATGATTTTGCAATCCCTGCCCCATCAAATGGATGTGCTCTATTAACATCTAAACAACAAGATAATGACTCACAATTAGAATTAATTTCTGCTCTACTTAATTTATTAGCTAAATACCAATTGATTTCACCGTCCAACGTTGCCCCTTTACTTGAAAATATAATACAACATTCCAATAATGGATCTTTGCAATATAATTCAGTGGAACATTCGTAGTATCATAAGTAATAAAAGTGACCTTATATATCTCACCAATAAATATAAGCCATTTGCCTTTGCTTTGTCAGAAACTTGGCTTAAACCTGATAAATCTTTTAATATTAATGGATATTGTACAGTGAGAGATGACAGACTAGACAGAAACGGTGGAGGAACAGCTATTCCTATTAAGAACACAATTCCATATATAAATATAACTATTCCTCCACATTGTGATGACATCTCTATAGTAGCTATAAGTTTTAATAATATTTGTTTAGTATCAGTGTATATACCACAACCTTCATCTTACATTTTAAGTGATCTAAACAACTTGCTCTCTTCCCTTCCTAAGCCTATCTTAATTCTAGGAGATTTTAACTGTCACCATACTGTCTGGGGAAGCTCTCAGTGTAGCTCTTTTGGTAGAGAATTAGTGGACATACTGGACACACATAATTTATGTTTCCTTAACACAGGTAGCCCAACACGATGTACAGATCCAAATCAGAATATAAGTACTGTAGATTTATCTATTTCTTCTCCAAGCTTAGCCTCTTCTTTGTCTTGGGAGACTCTTACATATACATATGGTAGTGACCACTATCCAATAATCATTGGATTTCCAAGTCATCAAGTAAAGCACTCCCAAAAGTTATGTTTGAGAAAATATAAATATTCTATTAGAGACGACACTACTTGGAAAACTTTCAAGGATAGAGTTGACGCTAAGATTAATCAACTACCAAGTGTGAACAGTAGTAATGATATTGCTTGTGCACAAATTCTGACTGACATTTTAACAGAAGCTGCCTCTGAAACTTTTCCTTCCAAGGCAAATACTTTAATCAGAATTCCATCTCCACCTTGGTGGGACAGCGAATGCACCCAAGCAATTAAAAAAAGGAAAAATGCAGAAAGACTCTATTGTAAAAATATGACATATACTAACTATGAAATACTATGTAAACTAAAATCAGAAACAAAAAAGTTATTCAAAAATAAGAAATTTGAAGGCTGGAAGCGTTTCTGTACTTCTATTTCTCCTAATGTCCACCCTTCAATAGTCTGGAATAATATTAAACGTTTTAGATCTGCCTTTAACAAAACTTCTTTTTCTACTCTTCCTCCTACTCTTGCGAACGACTTTCTTGATAAATTAGCACCGCCATGGGTCCCGGAAAATAATTTAACCCTACAAGCCTCCTCGTTAACGTTATCCACACATTACTTAGAACGTCCATTTACTTTATATGAACTTAAAGGTATTATCAACAGCGTTAGCCCAGGTGATGATGGAATTCCATATAGTTTCTTTTCAAATCTTAGTGATACAGTACTTTTAGGTTATTTAGATATCGTAAATAGTTTCATGATAACTGTGGGTCAATTATGCTTCAGTAATAAAATTCTAATGTGATGTCAATATGATGTTGATGCCAAGTTGACATTGTTTTTATATGGTATTATGAAACATTCCTATGTCACATCAAGATCTTATCAATATCATATCCTGTATCACATTTTTGACGTTTATGCGATACTATTTTAAGTCAAAAAGTTGAACGTAATACGCATTTAAGTTGATATCATTTTATAGAGTTGATCATCATCATAGCATAAGTTGATGTCATTTTGATATCGCATTTTTCGGAGAGCATAATACGTAATGTGAAATAGACATCAAAACAATATCACAATTAGCGAGCATAATTGGCCTGCAGTTGTGTTGTTTGTATCACGAACGAGTAAACGAGTATAATAACATGTCGTTCGGCGATCATAAAGAGTTTTGGCAAGAATTTATCCTGCTGTTTAAAGAGAAAACTAAAGAGAAACAGGTGGTTTACAGGACTGAAAACATTGCAGAAATTTTAAATGAGTGTATTTTGTTCGTTGTTTCAGCCATTCCTTTCTTCAGACGCTCTTTTTCTTTTTATTCTCCGTTAAAAGTATTCCACCGACTACTAAAGCGACTGTTGTGCGTTTGGAAAGCACCGGTGGCATGGTAGGGTAGGGAAGAACGATACGCGAGAGGCTCACCAAAGTACACAAGCGACTGGACTGCAACTCGGCGCTCGTGTAGTGTGTGGGCAATGACGGATTTGTCCATAAATGGGTACGGCTCGGGGTTCGGCTCGCGGTGCGTGTAGTGAATGGTGGGCTTTAATGTTGTGGAGATTTTTTCGCTCGTGTTTCTCCGCAGCTAAAAAATATGTCCAATAACGAGTGGTAGGGATTTTTTTTTGTACGATTCAAAAGAGTTGTAATATGCATCCAATTTGAATAAAGATATTTTGATTTCTGATTTCTGACTTCTGAGGCTGAATACTAGATGAATAGAAGGATTCTTGTGTACTAACAGCTGAATAAAGGCTCTGTAGCATGCTATTCAGTGGCTCATGGCTACACCATCGAGAAACAGCATTAATAACGGCATTTCTCGTTAATGTGTCCGTACGGTGTTCATACAGTTTTATAATTATCTGTCGTGTTGTATCATGCATGCGTGACCGTAAATGACGAGGTATCGGTTTCGGTTTCATACATTTAGTACGGTTAGAGTGACTACTGTGTCGACACATCGCAACACATAAATATAATTCTAGCCGTACTATATTTCTCATTCAACCTATATCATCACTCATCTCATCAGTAGCAAACATGCGTAGGTACGTACATCAACGAAAAAGATAGGTAAAGGTTGTATGGACTACGCACATTGCTTTCTGTATTAAGTAAAATATAAAAAAAAAATGCAACAAATGTCTTCTTAGGTGTTTTTGATACTTATTCAGAGGGTTTTTGGCATGTGTTTTTGGCGGGATTTCATCGAGAGCGGTTGGCGTCATATTTTAAATATTCTTTAAATTCGTTCATAGTGGATATTGTGAAACATTTTTTATTTTTTTTGTTTTTTTTTGTTTGCATATCCACAATCAGTTAGCTACTATAAGTGAATGCGTTGTCAGTCCAATAATTGCGATGAGTGTACCCTCCATTGAGAGTACTACTCCATGTGCTACACCCAGGTGCTACATTCCCTTCGACAGTGACGAGATATTATGCCTTTTAAGCCGGTTACAGTAGGATTGTCTTGTCAGTGCGACTGCCAGCTCGTTGCGATGCTGAGCAAGTCGTTTTTGGTATCTTGTAAATGTAGCCCGGATTTCTTCCTTTACTGTGCTTATTTGTAGGTTCTCGTGGATCTCGTTGTTTGTTACAAACCAAGGCACATTGGATATGGTGCGCAAGATAACGTTCTGTAGTCTTTGTATTACGCTTATGTTGGAGTTACTCGCGCTACCCCACAGCTGTATGCCATACATCCATACCGGCTTAAGGAGGGCTTTGTAAATTAGCAGTTTGTTGTCCACAGAGAGTTTGCTGTTGCGTCCAAGTAACCAGAGCATATTTCTGTATTTCAGGTTAAGTTCCTCTCGCTTTGCTTTTAAGGTGATTTTTCCATGTCAGCCTGCGGTCGAGATGTAAGCCAAGATATTTCACATTATCTTTATTGGGTAGTATATTGTCTTCTAGAGATACAGGTGGACAATCTCCTTTTTTGAGGGCAAAAGTTATGTGTACCGACTTAGTCACACTTGCTCTAATCCTCCATTTCTTTAGCCAGATACTTATTTCGTCTAGGCCTTTTTGGAGAATATTAGATGCCACAATCGAACATTTATTGCTGGCTAATATGGCAGTGTTATCGGCAAAGGTTGCTGTAGTAACGCCTGTTATTGTTGGCAAGTCTGCAGTATATATTGTGTATAACACTGGTCCCAGTACAGACCCCTGAGGTACACCTCCTTTAATTTCAAAGAATTCTGATGTTTCACTCGATTCTTTCACCTGAGATATTCTGTCTTCTATGTAAGATTGTAATAAAGGGTGATAACTGTGAGGGAGAAATTTTTATTTTGGAAATTTGTAATATATAAAATCTATTTTGTAGTGTCGTTTTTATGTTTTGTAGATAAAAGAATCAAACAGGGCAGGAGTCAACCAGCTGCATCAAGTTAAGCTTGATGAAATTTCAAGGGTGAGTTACTTTCATCTAATAATAATTAATTGTAATTTACTAAATTTTTAGTAGTTGAGTGCAAGTAAAAAATAGTTTTTAAAGGATATTGAATTTAAAAAGGAGCCTAATTATCTAGGATCTTTCTTAAATATACATATAACAGAGAATCATCGACATTTTATTAAAGCAGTTGCTTTATTTTTCTTTTAATATTATTATCATCAGCCTATTAATGTTCCCACTGCTGAGGCAGAGGCCTTCTCTATGGGTTGAACAGGGAGATTGAGCCATGACCTACCACGCGTGCCCAGTCCGGATTGATGGGTGCTAATGACTGCAGATGCAGCTGGGACCAATGGCTTAACGTGCCCTCGGAAGCACAGAGAAGCTCGAGATAGTAAATTTTTGGTCATTCAATAAATGAGTTATTATGACTAAATCTTTTATTCATTACAGATTAACATGGGTGAAAGTGCCAGAGATAACGACCGTAGACGGGGTGCGGGTGCGGGCGCGGGTGCGAGCATTAGCAGGAGGTCCGCTGGAGCTGGACGTCAGCAACAGCAGCAACGCGAGCGACAGCGCCGTAACAGACCCCAACCGCAAGCACGAGCTAACCAATTCTTAGAAGCAGAGCTGGATAGCAATAATATTTTGAGGGTATGTGTCCTTTTACAATAAAAGGGAAAATTAATAAATAATATTATACTTCAATGCTATCACTCAAAACAAACATGTAGAATGTTTAATTTTAATTTTGTTATAGGATTTTGCAAATCAATTAAATATTATGAATCGGAACAATGCCGTACGATTATGTTATGTTTGGGATATTGATACGAAAGAAAAATCTTGTGCTGTTATAATAGTAGACATATATTAAAAATATTATGTGAAGTGATTTTTTAAGAAATTGTGATCTAAAATATGAAGACAATCCAAATGATTTTTTTTATATATACTGCACTGAATATAATAATGTTTTTGTACCCAAAAAAATATGTGTTAATGATGCGGTAACTTTTATTAAGTGGGCAACACCTGGAATTCATAAAAGTAGAAGAACACTTCTACTGAACTTATGAACTTTATAATGATCGAAACTGTAAAACTAGTGTAAATTTTAAAGAGCATGTTCGTAACTATTCCAAATTGTTTAAAAAAGTATGCCGCTTAGCAAAATCAAATTACTTAAGTTCAAAGATTAAGAACAGTAATGACAAAATGACATGGAATGTTATAAATAATGAAACTGGAAAATCCAAAACTCGCAGTAATAATTATTATAACTTAAATATTAATAATAAAAATGTTACATCAGATATGGGAGTTGCTACAGCATTCGAAAATTTCTTTACTGATATTCCAGTTTCAACTACTAAAGCTTTGAACTCTTCCCCCATTGCTACAGAATCGTGAAAACGTGAAAACTTGTACTAGTCATTTTCATTTTAAACATGTTGACTTTAAAGATGTCATAAAAACGTTTCACCAATTAAATTAAAAGAAAACCGCGGATCTGTGGGGCAATTGATGTTTCGAATTGAGACAATAGCTTCTATTCTAACTTGCATATTTAATGATTGTGTTGACTGTGGTGTTCTTCCTTACCTCATGAAATAGTAAAATTACTCCTTTGCATAAAACGGGAAGTACATCAGGCCCACAAACTTTAGATCAAGTTCTGTACTACCCACCTCTAGTAAAATTTTCGGAAAAAACATGTAAGATCAAATGCAAACATTTTAATAAATTTATTATACTTCACTGTAAACAATTTGGTTTTACACGCGGTCGTTCAACAACCGATGCCGGTGTTTAACTTATACAACAAATTTTTGACGCCTGGGAGAACTCGCAGGGCGCTCCAGGTGTGTTTTCCGACTTGTCTAAGGCTTTTGATTGCGTTTTTCATGAAACATTACTCAGATACCGGTCTGGATCTTATTGATTCATACTGGAAGGATAGGATTCAGAGGGTTAACATTGTATTACCTAATGCAAAACAGGTAAAAACCAGTGTAAATGTAAAGAAAAATAATAATGTGGGCCTAGTAGACATCACAGTATTCTTAGGGATTAATTTAGATTCTAAGCTTCAATGGGGCCCACATATTGATAAATTGTCGAATAGACTTAGCTCGGCAGCATATGCTGTAATGTAAATACGCCAGTTAACAGATGTAGATACGGCCAGATTAGTGTGCTTTAGTTATTTTCATAATGCAATGTCGTACGGAATTTTATTGTGGGGAAACGCCGCCGACATTCAAACTATTTTTGTGCTGCGGAAGAGAGCTAATCGATCAATTTATAATCTTAAACTTAAAGAATCCTTAAGAAATAAGTTACAATAATTTGGCATAATGACGGTAGCATCACAATACATATACGAAAATATATTACTTATAAGAAAAAATATTAATTTATTTCATAAAAACCGTGACGTTCACACACTTAATACAAGAAACAAAAATAAACTAACTTTACCTGCTACTAGGCTTCACAAAATCAATAATTCATTTAAAGGTCTTTGTGTTCGCCTTGATTTTTTATTATATGATGTAATTAAAAATTTACGGTTTTCTCAATTTTTCCTTTATCGATACTATAAGACGATTACTCCATACCATTCAAGATTCTTAGTTGACGGGAAGTACCCTGTAGGTTTTGATTCCCGTGCTAGTTTTCAAAATTTGCGGTATAAACGGCTGTATTTTTTGATTGCTTTGGCTAAGAACTTTGATTTTTTCACAGCGCTAAGGGACAGTAGACCTGAATATTAGATATGAATTTCAGTTTGATACCTCCACGCGTTCCTGAGAAAAACGGTCTTGACAGACGGACGGACGGACGATCAACAAAGTGGTCCTATAAGGGTTCCGTGTTTTCCTTTCGAGGTACGGAACCCTAAAAATCAAAATGGGTAGTTTTCATTCAGGGCCTGGCACCAGCGCCGGCAATGGCACCGGTGCCGGGACGGTAAGTGGAAAATCGCCCATACAAGGGACCTTGACCGTTACTAAAACATAGATAATATAACTATGTAACTCTTTGTTTGTAATTTTTTTACAATATATCTCAAGTCTATCTAGGTCGTCCAGGGCCATTCGCCTAATGGAAATGCTATGGAATGCTAACGCTTTAGATTTTATTTTGTTATTTCTGATCGCCGAAGGTTTTCAAATAACTCACGCTCATTTTTTTTTAATATTGTTATTACCAATGCAAAAGAAAAAAAAGAGCGCGAGGCATTTGAAAACCTCAGGCGGCTAGAAATAACAAAATGAAATCGTAAGAGTTAGCGTTTTCCAAAGCATTTCCGTTAAGCGAATGGTCCCCAGGCGGCAGCTTTATTGCGAAGAAAATGCATTTTTTTTACAAAAGATGTCGCTAGGTGCGCTTAAATGTGATTGATGCAAGTTGATTGTAATGTAATGTGATTCATGTAAGCCGTGCATGTAATATGATTTTTCTGAGAGATAAACTTTTTAATGTAATATAAATTGTCCATATGTGTACGATAGAGCAATAAATAAATATTTTATTCTACCACATAAATGATAGTACTTTTATACTGATAATTAAAGCAATTCGTGCAAAATTATTCTCTAACCATTCCAAAATATCAAAAATGCACAATGTTAATATTCAAGTTTTCACTTCAGCCGGCACTCCCGGAGTGTAACCCGTCGTTTTTTTAATGTTTTCTCATCTATGGTTTTCCCTGAGGTTATCCGCACTAAGCAAGTAATCTATAGTTTTCCGATTTCCCCTTTCAATGTCAGTTGTAATAAATTATTTACTATCTTTATTCATTGTTATTACTGATAATTATATTGGTAAAGTTACTGATTTGAAGATTAGAATGGATGAAGAAATTATTAATTTTGAACCTGAACCATTGTATAACCCGATATCAGTCTGCAAATGTCTTACTGACCAAGATTCATCTGAAGCGATAATCATATCAGATCGAAAACGACGGATTCTGACAACAGTATCCCGTACTGAAAATTACTTAAAAGAACGTCGTATTCCCGAACTTGTAAGATTTATACTAAGTAAATTGTTAGCTGAAAGATCTAACAAACCAGTTTTGTATATGGACAAACTTATTAATGATTGTATGTTGTTTCGTGCTGGTCATGGCGTTGCACCAGTTTTGTATGAAAATAAGTAAGTAGCACTTAAATTAATATTTTTTGATTATTATCAAAATTAATCCTGAAATAACGATTTCTATAAATACTTACAGGCATTTAGAAGCTGTAGTTAAAAGTTTTGATCCCGGACAAAGAGGATGGCTAAGTGCAGGACAAACTCGACGTGCATTTATAACACTAGGTCTTCAACCAGATGAACATCTTCATGAAAGAAATCCTTATGACGAGGTCTTGAACTCTCTACAAAAGAAACAAGAAACGGAACTTTTTGATTTATTGTGTGCTGGAATAGACTTCTCTGAGAGTACTGACATTTCGAAATCTAACAGTAGTGATACATAAAGAAAGAAAACTTTATAGCTTTGTTGTACCTATTTAGTTCCTAATTTTTAGAGACTCGTTTGGTTGATTAATTACGTAAAACAATTTAAATTATTTTAAGTTCCTACTTACAAATTTGAATGTGTACAATATGTAGTTTTATTTTATTTCACTATCCTACTTAAAAAAAATACAAAAAATCATACTTAATGATAACATTATTATAGTTGAACGACCTCCGTGGCCGAGTGGTTTGTACGCCGGGTTTCAAGGTGTCGCTTTCTCAAGAGATTCCGGGTTCAAATCCCTGTGGGGGATGTTTGTGTGATGAATACGAGGTTATTTACTCCAGTCATGGATGTTTAATATGTATTTCTATATAAATATACTTATATATGTATCAGTATATGTATTCTATCCGTTACCCTAGTATCTCTTAACATAAGCCTACAGTTCATACTTTGGGCTATTTTTTTATATTTATTTTATATATACAGGGTGTAAAAAAACCTTTAACGAAATCGAAGGCCACGTATTCTCCACATTATGACGATCATTTTTTTATTCTGAACCATACCTGGGAAATTTATGGTTATGGAGATATTGAAGGTCAGAGTCACAATTTTTTATTCAAGTTTTTTACGTTAATATTTTTAAAATGCTATTTAGAAACTTTTTTATCTACGCACTTACACACACGCACACACATACACACAGGCACATTCTTGGTGCCACAGTAGCGCGCCGCGCTATACATTGCATACCGGAAAAAAAAATGAATTTTTTAACTTAAAAATACAAATTTTTCCCACGTCTAATATTTTGTAATATTACTTGTTTGGGTGCACAGATTGGGTAGTTTGAGTCTTTGTTATAGGGTTTTTTTACACCCTGTACTTATATTTTATTTATATAAATATATAATTTATTTACATGACATAAGTGCCTCGCAATATTATAAGCATGCAACCATTACAGCAAATATATACAGTAGATTTCATTTATTATAGACCTTGGTTATAACGACCATTTACCTATAGCGACGTTAAATCTATATGAAAAGAACATAAAAATATTAGAAGTAGCACCCAGATTTTTGATCAAGAGGATTGCTATCGTATCCAATTTCAAAAACATGTCAAAAGTTATTATTTTTAGGGGTGAATTTAGAATCCGGGGCCCCCCCTCCACTCTCGTTACACCAATATGTTAAAATAAAATAAAAAGATAAAATGTTGAATTTTGATAGCAAAATAAAATTAAATATCACCGTTGCTTATAAATACAGCATCTAAAAATGCTCCTGGATAGCTAATTACATCATTTTAATTACATAATTGAAGCTTTTAACTTCTAGATGTTTGAATCTAAAGAAAATTTTACTGTAATTTTTTTTTCTTACAGTCTGTGGTTGAGCCTACGGTGGGGGGCGAGGGAGTTTATTGTGCAAATCATATACTTATAGGTTTCAAAAGCTAGATCACCTAGATTACGAGATTGTTGTACAATGAAAAAAAAACTACGGTTGGTAACCCTGGTAATTTACGTACTATGCAAGTTTCCAGGGCCGTTAAATATTAAAAAAAAACTTTCATTCCTTTCCTTATAGCTTTTATACCTGGAGAGAGCATGGACGGGCGTACCCCTCCGCCAAAACGATCCTCCCATGGCCATCCCCAAGGCCAGTGGCCATGATCGTTATATAAAACTAGTTCACGCGAGACCGCTACCACTTTAGATCGTTCCGCAGCGTGAGTCGGAGCTCCCACAAAAATGGAAAATGATGTTGTTTTCCCACGCAAAAACCGATCTGCCACTTCAATCTTGCTGAAACATGGTGTTTTCTATCATATACAAGTATTTTTAGGTTCTAAAAAGTTAGTATTCTGGTATAAAATTCAATTAAAAGAAAAGGCGCGAAATCACGAATGAATGACGAAAATAATAGGTAGAAATTTATAGTGATGTGACGAAAAAAGAATGAAATGAATGAATGGTATTTTTTATACTGGAAAATATTCAACCAGATTTAATAATGTATTTGTCGATACAAATAGCATGTTGATAAAACAAATATACATCGACAGATCTTATAAAAAAAACCAAATATTCGATCATTCACGATCTATAACTTAACCAAACAAAGGTGTCGATTCTTGCCTGGTTCTCTAAGCTTAAAAGTAAATTTAATATTAGTATCTCCTTTTCATTCTGTATAGAGGATGACAAGGATACACTTGTCAAATTAAAGTTTAGAGAACGCTTCCATATTCGACACCAAAATCGACGTTGAAATACCATAATATGTTTTAAAAGTACTTTATATCGATGCCGGTAAATAGCCACATAAAAATTATAAACAATAATAAAATGTCGATTCTGGCATGCATAATTCTCTTAACTAAATTTAATATTAGTCACTCCTTTTCATTCTGTATAGAGAAAGATAAGGATATATTGGTGTCGATTCTAGATGATTCTCTAAACCTAAACTTAAATTTGACAGCAGTATATCCTTGTCATTCTCTATACAGAATGAAAAGGAGAGACTGATGTTAAATTTAGTTTTAAGTTTAGAGAATCACGCCAGAATTGGCACCATTGTTATCAAAAATTTAAGCTTTAGAGAATTATGCCGGAATCGACACCATAATTAACTTACTATTTTTTTTTGTTTGTTTATTGGCAATACAGTGGTGTCGATTCTGGCATGATTCTTTAAACTTAAAACTAAATTTAACATCAATCTGTTCTTTTCATTCTGCATAGAAAATGACAAGGATACACTGTTGTCAAATTTAAGTTTAGGTTTAGAGAATCATGCCGGAATCGACACCATTGATGTAAATAGCATATAGGTAGAAGAAAATAAATCAAATTAAGTAATTAATTATCAGGTCAGCTGCCCACATCGAGCGACTTTTATTACCTTTTAATTAACAAACTTTTTCAAATGTCAAATTAAGAGGAAAATGCCATCACACGAGGCCCTAGATTTAATTTAGTTGCACCCTGATTATTATCGTGTCGTGAAAAAAAACAACGTTTACGATATACAACGTTTGTTCATGGATTTTGCAATTTGTATTTCTCTATAGTCCAGGAGATAAAAACTTATATTGTTAAGGTTCTGTATTAAAGAGAATTTAAGGTTTTTTAGACAAATCAAATAATGTTTTCGCCATAACTTATATTAATTTATTTTTTTACTAGAGTTTTTAAAACACAGTTTCTTTTATATGTAGTAGCGTATTTTATTGTAATCCACAAAAGTGGTACCTTATTACTATTCATCTGGGCGGCCGACATATATTACAATTTAAGGACATTCAATTTCCAGAAACTTGGAGCTCTATGGAAGCTGTCTGGTTAATACAGATAAGTACTTTAAGGTGTCGGCGAGTCACAAAATCTATCTTTTAAGTTTTCGTGCCTACAGTGCCATTAGGACTGCATAGTCGCAAAATCTGAAACATTAATAATATTCTTGGATCTCGAGAAAAATGTTGTTTTCGTAATCAGCTCCATTTAAAACTATAAATTCGATAAATACTCATATTAAACTTATGTGGAAAAAAACTCCGTCTGATCAAAAAGTTTATTTAAATAAAAACATAATTAAGAAACAAAGGTACTTTAAGAATTGGGGCCAATTATTGGGACCATTTGATTTATTCTAGAATATCTAATGTATATTGACTGTTGAAATAGCCTTGATCTAACTTAACAGAATTCTATACTACTGGATTTGATTTTGTTTAGGTTAGTAGTAGTTTATTTTAGTAGTATTATATTTTTAGCAGATAAGCTTATTGACTTATTAAAATTTACTATTTTATTTTCGACATTTTAGGGCAAAATAGAACTGTTTTGCATTACAACAAAACAGATATTATGTGTTGAATAAAACACACAGCGTTGGAGTGAAGATGCTGCTTTATGATCTTGCTTTATCTATGGTAACTTTGAAGTGTAATGGTAGCTTTTCTTACAGTTTTATCTCCTCACTCATCAGGGGGCGCTATCATCTTTGTGATTAAGCGTTCTTTGACATCCGTTTGAATTCATAGGTCTCTTCACGCACCTGCAAGGCTCTTGCTGTAACGCTGTGTGTTTTATTCAACACATAATATCTGTTTTGTTGTAATGCAAAACAGTTCTATTATGTGCTCTCTTAAAACACACAGCGTTGGAGTGAAGACCTGTTTGATATCTGCTGGTGAGAAGGAATTAATAAGTAACATAAAACGCTATGTGAATATAAAGAAAAAATTTACTCAGTCTAAGAAATGAGATGAACATAAAAAGTAACAGTAACAACTTATTATTCATATAATTATAAATCAAATTATAAAAGCAAACAAACAAAAATAAAAAATCTGCCTTCTTTGCAAAAATAAAAATTAGCTATAACAAAATATTCATAATTATGAGATCACTCTACAAATCATAACAAACAATTATAAACATCAACTTCCAATGCTTTAGATTATTTGAAACAACTTAAATAATTGAAAATGATGGACGGAGTAAGTCCTTAGAAATCACAGTCCTCTGTTTAATTTCCCGACAATAATGATTAGTAAATGTAGACAGACTTTTCCAATTTCCTCTATCTAATATCTCCTGCACAGGTCTATTCTCAACCCAACTTCTAGAAGCTACAGCTGATCTTATACTTCCTGGAGATTCATCTATCTTTACCTCCTTGAAAATGGATCTTATCCAACCTGCAATCATATTTCTAGAAGCTGGTCTAACTTTTCCTGTTATTGATATGAAAAAACTTGATACATTACTTTCTGTAGAACGTCGAGCTTCTGATAAATTTAAAAATTTTATAATATGACTGACTGGACAAATATTTAAATTTGGATGGCGCAATAACAACCATCCCGACTGCTGATGCAACCCTGTGTCAGTTTTTGCACCAAATTTAGGCCAAAAGATAACCCTGTCATCTTGAACAATAAAACTGTCTTTACTTATCTCTAATAAAGTTAAATCATGTATTCTGCGACCTGAGGCAAGGAGTAATATTAAAGCTGTACGTCGGGCAACATCAAAGAAAGAAATAGTTTCCGGTGTATTTGTTAACCAATCATATAACAATTTAGTGTCCCAAATTGGAGCTTTCTTAGATGGAGGTCTTGCTTGAGATATGGCTCTTAATATCTGATGGATAAAAAAGTTTTTGGTATAATCTTCATTAGATGATTTACAATATGTGAGAACAGCTGACTTCTGTAATAGC